TTCTGGAAGAAAATATAAGGATTTAATTGTATACTATTGACTGTGTTCAGCCAAGTAGGTCTTTAAGAAGCTATTTACTAAAAGTTAGAATTGGTTAACATTAGTTTTCAAGGAAGATACATGCTGGAATCTAAAGTAAAACAATAAATTCATTAAGGACAACTTTGCTGCCCAATCCAAATCTAGTTTCTGGTTACTTAATATCTCAACCAATATATAGAGCCCCTTAAAATCAGTGACTTGGGACTTGGCCAAAAATCTATTTGCTTGATCAGATAATGGTTTATCACAGTGGTTCTCAACCTTTCTAATGCCGCGACCCCATAATACAATTCCCCATGTTGTGGTGACCCCCAACCACTTATACATCACTGGGTGCCAGGGGCGTGGCCAAAGAAAAGGGGGAAAAATGGCAGACAGCCTTGTTTGGCGGCCCCCGTGAAATGGTCGTTTGACCCCAAATGGGGTCCCGACCCACAGGTTGAGAACCACTGGTTTATCAGATCTACTAATCTGAATCCTTCTGGAGGAAGAGCAATGCAAAACTAACATTATTATTATCAATAACAGTAATAGTAATAAATACTATTGAATTTATAAATGTATAAAGACTAAATTGAGTATTAGGCTGGCTTTGGGCAAAGAAACTACATTTTTACTATATTGGTCTCCTTGTGAGATGTAAAACCAGCGGGAAATTATCCTGCACATTTTCTTGATCTATCTGTAGCTTTTAATGTCTTCAACAGTAATATCCTTGACAGAAGCTGTCTTAATTAGATGAGAAAAAGAATAATTTTGTCTGGGTGGCTATCTACAGAAGGTTTTCCTCACCAAATGGTATTTGGTAGGTTGCTACTGACTTTTATTTATTCATTCATTCATTCAAGTTATATGGCAACCCAATTCAAAGCAACTCTGGATGATTTACAACAAATTCAAAATCATGATGCTGTTTAACAACTTTCTGAAAACGTAGTAAGATAATTCAAAGATTAAGGATGAAGTACAATCAGTATGGTAATAATATAAAGCTCTGCTTCTCCTTTTCATTAGATCTAGGTGAGGCAGTAAAAATACTTAATGTACATATAATATTCATACACCAGGTGAAAGTTAATAAATTGAAACTCAAGCCAGATGAGATAAATGTTCTGTTATTTGTTGTGGAAAGGTTTTCACTCCCTATGGAGTCACATTTACAATTTGTGGGTGCATCTAAATTCATCTGTTGTAAAAGAGGGCAGAAACATTATTTTAGGTATGCTTCAGAACTGAAAGGAGAAATATGATTTGTAGTATGCGGGGAAATATATGTACCACAGCTGGAAATATATTAAGGCAGTAATCGTTTCTGGTCTCACATGAGTGACATTCACAACTACCCTGGTTGTTTGACCCCAAATGGGGTCCCGACCTACAGGTTGAGAACCACTGTCTTAGATGGAAAGCAAAACTGCAAGAAGTGTTTCATCAGAAGTGGATCTGATTTTGCTAATGATTCCCAGGTTCTGAACTGCATGCAAGCCATGTGATTTTGGATTGCAAGCTCATATACATTAAGTGAAAGTCTGAGAAGACATGCATCCAATTGCACTACTAAACCATTAATATTAAGGACTTCAAAGCATAACTACATGTTCATATAATCTTGTATTGTTTTTTTTAAAAAATGGTTCCCAATGGTGTAAAAATCTGTTTTTCTTTAATTGTACAATTTCTATTTTACTTTTTTTGTTTCACTAGGTTTATAATGTTACCCTCACTCTATTTGTTTCACTAGGTTTATAATGTTACCCTCACTCTATTATAATGTTACACCTCACCTCTTCCCATTTTCTGAAATTTTGAACAAACATGAATATCCAGATGTCATGCTAGACATAAACAATAGTAGTATTCTCTAAATATAATGTTCCTTGAATTCCCTGTTTCATTTTCATATATTTATTTTATTGAAACACTAAGAATAATTTTAATATTTTTGCTTTGCTCTTTAAGTAGAGTTTTATTACAGAAGGCATTTTCAGAGCTTCTTTATGACCTAATTTATCTGTTTTTGAAGGTATTGCATTTCCTTTGCTCAGTGATACTTAGCACTGAGCTCAATGAAATCTAAGACATTCCATCCCGCTGATACTCTATAAAAAAACACACAGCTGGCAATATACTTTGTAGATTGTGCTAATGCTTTCTCATGCAAGTGTAAGTAAATTGAAAATGCTTTTTTCTTATAAAGATCATGTTACTCTTCTTAATTCTAGGTCATTATTGCTTGTTTGATGCACCTATAGAATTTAAAACAATCAAGAGCCCCCCTCTCTGAGGGAGATGGGTCCTTAAGAAATATGAAATATAAATAAATAAGTTAATCTAGAACTAATACTATTCCATAGATTATTTTATTACTCTTTCATCTTTTTTAATAGTCATGTTCCCTCCCAAATTAATTATGCATAAAATATTGGATGAAATTCAGATTTACTGCTATGTACACCATTTACTGTTATGTAACCGCAATGGCTCAGCGGTTAAAGATGCTGAGCTTGTCAGCTGAAAAGCTGACAGCTTGGGTTTGAGACCCAAATGCAATGCAATAGGGTGAGCTCCTGTTCCTTGCTCCAACTCCTGCCCAGCTAGCAATTCGAAAGCATGCAAATGCAAATAGATTAATAGATATAAATTCAGTGGGAAGGTAACAGCGTTTCATGCACCTTTGGTGTATATAGCCATGCTGGCCACATGGCCATGGCAATATTGTTCCCTTGGCCAAGAGACAGAGATGAACACCATGCCCTAGAGTCGGACATGACTGGATAGCAGATAACTTTACCTTACTCTAGATTCAGTGAATTCACTGTCAGTTGAAAAAGAGAATATTGATGTACATGGGGTAGACTTCTGACATGGTACAAATAGCTTCCTAATTTTATAGAAATAAAATGATCTTATTTCCTATGCACCTATAACATGGAAGAACAATGAAGAAAGTGGGTTACAGTCAGTGGTGGGATTCAAATAGGTGAACAACCAGTTCTCTGTGTGGATGCCACTTCCGGAAGTCCGTTCTGGGCCTGGGCAACAAAAAATTAGCTAACAATTCTGCCGAAGTGGTGCGAACTGGTTGAATCCCACCACTGGTTACAGTGTACATTTAATAACACTACTGATGATGCAACACAATCTGTTTTGGGTGTTTTGGAATTCATCATTTTTTTTAAAAAAAAAATATTACAGTGCCTCAGATCGGAACAGCCTGTCCAAAAGAACGCTATGCAGTATTGAGAATTATTGCATGCTGCAGCATCTTTAGTTGATAGGCTCAATTTAAGCAAACATTTGTGTTGGAAAAGAGGGTGTCATTGAGGCCTTAGATTTGAGCTTGTAGAAAATCAAAAGTTTATTTCTATTGCTGCTCTTGTTTTCATTTTACCCCATTCCTTCTGGATTAAGGTTAGTAAAGATGACATCACTTACCCGTTCCAGGGACATATCAGGGCATTATAGGCATTGAGAAGACCTAAAGAGGGCAGGGCTTTCTTTCTGCCATCTTCTGGAACTTAGAAGACTCCCAATATATTAGAACCACATATGCTAGGATTCCTAAGTATCATACTGGGAATTCTGAATTCAGAAAGCACCATTTTATAAGGAACCTGATGTTTATTTTAAGAATAATTTAAAGATGAAAAATAGCTAATGATTAAAATACAGACCTGTCTCAGATAACACAAACAGGATAGATAACTAGAAAACACAAAGTTTCTTATGTGTCTCAAGCTATAAATTATATTTTTTGATTTTTTTCACAGTATTATTTTAATTCTGAGTATATTCTCATATAAATTTGCAACATTGTTTGGCTATCATGATATTATGTTGCTATTCTCTTCTAAATCAAAAGGTTTCAGCAATTTTATACCATGTCATGTCCCTCAAACTGATGACATTTTTACTAAACTTCATCCAGAAGGGACAAGATGAAATTACAGTGGGAATGGAAATCAAATTCTGATTTTGGAAAGGTTGAATAAGACACTCAAGTCTGAGGCTATATTGGCACACTCTCTTCTTTGCATAAATTGAGTCCATCAGCTAAAATGCTATAGCACACAATAATTGACCAGATTTTATTACCTATTATAGAAAGACAGAATTAATTATACATGCAATAGAAATGAATCAAGTACAATGAATCTGTATAGTGAATCAGGAAAGAATTATTTAAAAAGCACAGAAAGTACCACATATTTCTATTATGCAAATTAATTACCAGATGACAAATATCACTGAATTCAAGAATAAATATAAAGTGTTTATTAAAAAAATAAAGCAAATATGAATTCAAGATCAGTAGCATAAAAATGAATTGATATTAATTCCCATGCTCCTCTCATTAATGTTAAAAAAAAATGAATGAGCTTTTAAAACTGAAAATTGTTCATCAGGTAAACCAAACAAAAGCTCTTAATCCTTACGGCAGAAACATTAGTCCATCCAAAATATGTAAACACAGATGCAACTAAATTAACAGAATGTGTAAGAGAAAAGTGTTAACCCAGCTGAATTGAGCAAACAATTGTAATGCAAATCAAGATGCTGATTATCTTCCATAAAGTCCTTCATGGCATAAGATCAGTATGCAGTAGGGCCATGTCCCATACAGTCTAACAGGATTGGCATGCTTTGGGTGCCATCAGTTAAATAATGTGATCTGGTTGGAACCTGTTATGATGCCTGGCCTCTGGAATGCCTTTCACCTCAGATTCATATGGCTCCTCTCCTGTCCCAGTTCCTGGGTTAGAATGGGTGGTAGATCCCTTGTGGATGTTTTGGTTGTTTAATTGACTATTGTTTTTCTCCCGACTTTCTTTTGGATTACAGTATTTATTCTGTATTTCTATTATTTTTTTAATGGTTGCATCCTATAGGTCACCTGAGTGATATAGATTACCACAGACAAGTAAACAAACAAAAATAGCATTTACAAAAATACTTACAGCTTTCAATCTCTAATGTGCAGTTTTGTTCATCTAAGGGATATCTTCGTAGATCCATCATGCATGCAGCTGTTGTTGTAATTCTAGAAAAGACAGGAATGAAAACATTTTTTTATTTGTTCAATCTGGTTAAAATCTAGATAAAAGACTGGAAAATTGATGCATCTATTCCATGTCACTTAAGGTCAGAGAAAGATATGTATACATTCAAGAAAGCCATATACTGGCTTTGTTTTGACTTTAGTTGTATATTAGTATTGTACTTTATATTTCACATTAACTTCATATTTTCTGGGCAGACAGACTAATAACAAGGGGAAAACATGAAACAGCCCCAACCACAGAATTCAGTCTATCAGAATCTATAGAAAACATAGTGATAAGATCAAATTGGTTTGGCTAATTCCAATAAACACATTCCTGAAGGTAATTTGGTACCAACCCATAAACTACCTACAACTACAGAGTACTCAACTGTCTTCAGTTGCATTCCCGCTTTATTTCCATCATTGTGTCTATATGTTCATTTCATTTTCTGCAGCACCTCAGTAAACTAAGGACCCTATTGGGATCTGTGAGAGAAAGGAAAGCTGCTTCGGGGCAATCTCTATTTCCATTACCATCTTATAGTTCTAGAGATTGACAAAAACCCATGGTGATTAGCTCACAAACCTCTCTCACACAAAGACATTGTAATTTAGCAAGTTCCTGTGTTTTTAGGTCAACATAACAGAGTTAGAGAGAGAAATAATTGTTTAAGTAAGAGGTTTGCCAAGTTTGTACGAATCATTTTTCAATTGTATTAATGTCAATGATTAATTTGTGCTAGTTTGTATAGCATCTCTCAGGAGCATTATACCTCTACCTCCAATAATTGGAAAATGTAGTATTGTCCCTTATTTATAATCACTGTTTTAATATTCTCTCTCAGAGATATGGAAAAGCAGTGAAAGCAAGTAATTATTCTGTGAAAACCAATTTGCGGTTTTGGAACTCTTAGAGCAGTACTTTTCAAACTCAGAAACTTTAAAATATGTGGACTTCAGCTCCCAGAATTCTCCAGTCACCATACAGCATGGAAACATGGAAACATCTTAATCAAATAACATAATAAAGGCATTAGCAGGACATTGTTTCTTTGCTTGTGCAGCTGGCCTGCAGTTTAATTTAAAAAGAACATTGTTATGATTGTTTTTTTCTTCAAAAAGATTGCAATTCATTTACCAAATCTCAGAAGATCAAAAAAAAAAAAAAAAAAAAAAAAACCATTGGAAACTTAGTAAAAACAATGTCCCCTTAAGGTCAGATTCAGTCCTCTATGATTCCATAGAAATGTCTATGTAATTATTTTAGCAACAATAGGGAGATGATTTCACATTGCCTCCCATAATACTCTGGAGATTTCTAATAATGCATTGGGACTATTTCCCTTCTTTCTGCCAGGCTCTAGGCAGACTGCATTACCAAAATGAAGATTCAAGTTTTCTTTAACAAGATTTATTAACAGGGAAAGGGATTAGGTTACAAATACTTCAACAAATGAATTTCTTTCATTTTTGAACCTAACTTATTTTTCAGCTCATTAGGATAGCCATTTCTTTAAATTCTTTCTAACAATCCTTGTTTGAACTGGTTGACTGGCTAGCTGCTAGTTTCCTAGACAACTGAGGGATGTGCAGGAGTCTATTAATGTTTTCTTAACTGTCTCTGGAATACTTATTGGGCTGTGAACACACAGTATCATTAGATCCCTTAAGTATTCTCCATGATCAAAAAGTTAAAATATCCTTTTTTTCTTTTTTAATATAACCACATATTCTAAAACTCCCATTCATTAATTGATGTATTTCAGACATACATCAAGCTCAAACTGCTAATCAGCAGTCTTTCTACTGATCTGTCAGTATAATTTTTTTTTGCACTTGACTGCATTTGACCAAAAGACTTTTATTAGAATCATTATCAGGAATCATCAATGCATAAAGACTGAGTATAGTGATTTTTCTATCTAAAACAATTAAGAAAACTGCACTTGTAGCTCTGCCCAGCATTCTGCTTCATGGAAACAATTCTCTTTTTAACAGTTGGATGGGTTGGCAAGATTCCCAATTATAATATATGGAAATTTGAGGACAAAATTGTCTTGTTGATTATTTTCTCTCGTGTATGGAGAGAACAGCTTTGAATAAAAATGTTTTAGCTTTTTTCTATTGTCTTTAATTTGCTGAAAGTTGGAAAAAATAGAATAAGTCTGTCTCAAAGCCCCTTGTGAAAAATATAAGAGAACTTTTTTTTCATCATTTGCAACAATCACCTAAGTAGTTTACAAAACCCCAGAATTGTATTATTTCAATTTATATTATTTGGGGGTAGTCTCACAGCAACTGCTTTTCATCTCATTCTCTGCCTTAGAAGAGTAGATAAAAAACAATAACATATCTTTTATGTGAGGCTTTTTACTTTCAATTAATTTTACAATTTATTTGTGATTTTTACCTTTTCATTTTGTGTTCTGCATTTTTAAAGGTTGTTAGTCTCCTGTGAACTCTTTGAGAATATAATATCCTCATTTGAAGTGAACAAAGAAATCAAAATATTTAAAGCAACAAAGACAATTAACACTATTTGTTAAAGTCATTTGAGTGATTGGACAGGGAGGCCTCTGAAACTATGCAAACATTTTAAAAGGGGACATTTCTTGCTAAACAGTGCCAGCCTAGGATTTGGGTTTTTTTTTTTTTTTTTTTTTGTCAAAATAAAATAGGTATTTTCAAATCACCTTTTGGGTGATGTAGTAATAATAATGTGTTAGCAAGCTTATCTTTTATCTGGTTAGTAGCTAACCAGTCCATTCATTTGTAGCTTATTCATTGCTGTTGTGAAACTTGTTGTTTCTAGAGTTATTTTGTCACTTAAACCAGATGGGCCAAACATAATGCCACATAATTATAGCTGTCATGGTAAAGCTATAATTTCATCTTTATCTATCCATTTCAATTGTCCTTTACTTAATACTTGATAGCTATTCTCCAGTTCAGGGACTAGTACAGAATCTAAAATCAAACATTTCTTCACTATTAATGTGGTGAGAATGAAGCCAAATTTTAGCAGAATATATTTATGCCTGGCAAAATATATAAGTACACAGATCTATTGCTGGATAATCAGTAAAAGTTGGTCTCGTAGCTCTTGGACCATTTGGTTTAAGTGACAAAATAGTTTATTGGAGGTGATAAGCCAGGAGGGAAAGCCGGAAGAAGGTTGCTGTATAACCTAGATCAGGGGTAGACAACCTTGGCTCTTTTATGACTCGTGGACTCATGGAACATAGCCGACTCAGGAATTCTGGGAGTTGAAGTCCACAAGTCATAAAAGAGCCAAGGTTGCCTACCCCTGACCTAGATAATAGTACTGGGCACATGTTCAGGTTAAAGATCCACATAGAATAAAATGAAACAAATGAACAAATAAAAGACCTTGTTTGAATTGACTATGTCAAGTTATAGAATATGCTTAGAAAAGTAGGAATTCCAGAACATCTTGATGTCCTCATGAGGAAACTATATATAGATCACGAAGCCACATTATGCAAAGAACATGGGTGAATCAGATGAGCTCCAAGCTGGCAAAGAAGTGAGACAAGGCTGTATGCTCCGCATTTATTCAACCTATATGCTGAATATATATTAAGAGAAGCTGGATTGGAAGATGAGTGTGGTTTAAAACTGGAAGAATATAGCCCAAAATGCAAAGGATCTGCAAACTCTAGTAATAAGAGACAAGCAGCATAATAAAACAATGGAATTAAAATTAAATATAAAGAAAACCAAATTATTGATATCAAGCACAATAACCAGCTTTAGAATTGACAATAAAGATATCAAAGTGGTAAATAACTTCTGTTTTTTAGGATCAGCCATCAACAATAAAGGAATAAGTATTCAAGACATACGCCATTGATTAGCACTTGGTGGAGCTGCAATTAAGGCCCTGAAAATATATTTAAATACTATGATTTGTTTTTACCTACAAAAATCAGAATCATTCAAGCATGGTATTTCCTGTGACACCCTATGAAAGCACATATTGGACTTTGAAGAAGCAGGATAGGAAGAGTATTGCTGCTTTAGAACTTTGGTGTTGGAGACAAATGGACAGCCAAGAAAACAAAAAATGGATAATTCAACAAATCAAGTCACACACAGGACCAGGCTCAAATTATCCTACTTATCCTACTTCAGTCACTTTATGTGACGATCTAACTCTTTAGTGACGGCTCTAATTCTAGGAAAGGTGGAGGGAAAGAGCAGAAGAGAATGACCAGGAGCAAAGTGGATGGACCCAATTACAGTGGGATGACTGCACCATTCAAAGATGAAAGAATAGGTTTGGGATAGATTGTCATGGAAAAAAATCTATGTATTTGGAAAGAAAGAAAGAAAGAAAGAAAGAAAGAAAGAAAGAAAGAAAGAAAGAAATCAGAGCACTGCATAAAAATGCAGTTCTATTCAAATTTAGAAACTTTCAATTTAATTATATAAATTAGCATTTTTGATATTATCCTAGCCCATTTATTCTTGTCCAACTCTTCTTTAAACAGTTTCCATAACAAATTTCTTTAATATTGCTCTAGCATCAGAAATATGCTATGCAAAATGTTTAGGACATGTTTTTCTTGCTAACATTCCATCTTTATTAGCCTAATAATCTTCTAATTTTATTTTACATTCTTCACAGCTCAATTCATCATTCATTGCCATGCCAATGAAAGCAGTCAAAACTATGGCTAATAGCTTCCCACTACTGTCAGTACAGATTTCAGGTTTTGAAACAGCAGTGAAGTTGTTCAAAATATTTTACATGTTATGGTTCTCTTCCATTTTTTAATAGCCAGCACAGCTTGTACTATTTTATTTCCAATTGCGCTTACTGAAACTTCCTCTCCAATTAGAAATATGCATCTAAAGCTTAGGATCTTAATTCATACATCTAATAAAGATTGCAGTTCAGAAAAAAAATGAATGCTGAAATGAATGTGTTAATCTTTACAGTGTTACAAGACTGTTGCTTTTCCATCTTTCTT